GGATTCTGTAGCTGGCAGCAGATACGCAACATTTTTTAAAAAGTTTTGCTACTTTTTAGAAAATCTTTCAATTGGCTGCATAGCTGCACGCTCTGTTGGTGTGTAGGGTCAATCATGTATGTTTCTTAGTTTAATGAATAAAAAAAATATGTTTTCTCTTATCCCTAGCAAGTTTGTTTTAAAAAATACCATACAAATATTTAAGCTGGAATGCCTCCAGTACATTCCTTAACATAACACTCTCCCTATTCTCATCTCTCCTGTTTCAGGCATGTGATTTTTGCTCCCAGCAGCCATAATAAATACGCAGGGGAGTCTTTCCCTGGGATCTACGATGCATTGTTTGACATTGAGAACGCAGCTGACCCAGTGAAGGCCTGGGAAGAAGTCAAGCGTCAAATCAGCATAGCAGCGTTCACGGTCCACGCTGCTGCCATGACACTGACACCACCTGCATGAAGAGCAGGCTGCAGCAATGTGATATGATGAAAGCATCCAGACGGGACAAAACATCTGCTACCTGCAACTTAACACTTCTGGAAATCCTTGTTTCTTATCCGGTCATTCCTACAGAACATGCAGACCTCAGTAACACTGTGAAAGTCTTATTCACATCTCCAGAAGTTTAAAAATCTGTCTTTTTACTCTTTTATGTTTCGTGTTTGTGATTTGTTATGCAGCTGCAGTAAAGAAATAAGTTATGTTTTTTAATGTTTTCTTCTTGTTGGAGTTTTTGTAATATTGGTCGCTGGCTATGAGACATCCAAATAAATCAATCCATCCTTTTATGTGGGAAGAACATAACTCATATTGTAGTCATGTAATGAAAAATATGAGAGAAATGAGTTTTATTTAGACAAGGAATGTTTTTTGGTAAACTGTTTTTGTCATGTGCTTTGTAAACAGCAAAAAACACAACAAAGTTCATTAATAAAACTGTATATATTGATAAAAATTATGCTTTCTTCAGAAAATACAGTCAAGCATTTATTCTTTAAATTGCGTTGGTGAGTTTTAAAAGTCACAACACAAAGAATGTCATAATGAGGCAATAAAGCAGTTTGACCAACAGCTACAAACGGTTTTATTGTCCAGCATTATATTAAGTATTATCTGTGTGTGTGACAATGACTTGATAATGATGAGATTGTAAAATACTCGTGACAATCAGATGTTCATCCCCTCTTTCATCTCACAGGACGGAAAAGTTACAGAGTAAAGGTCATAATATGACATAAATTCACTAGTAAAAAAATCTGTGACAGTTTGCAACTTGAATAGTTTAACTGCTAAGATTTCTTCTGGCAACAACACCATTGTGCCTGCAGTGAGTTTTATTACAATCATAAATTGCTGTGATAAATATTTTTGTGATTATTTTTGTGACCTTCAAGGACACTTAAATAGCATGCCGACTAATAAATCAATTACCAATTTGGAGGTCAGATAGATAAAAATATACAACACATCCCCTCAGAAGAGATTAAGAGACACAAAAATATGAGTGAAAACGAAATGCCTACCATAGTTGTGTCTTGAAAGCTTCGTTGTAGCTACAGCGTCTGTTACACACCCAGAGGCTTATGAATCGAGGCCTGGTGATGCCTCAGGTGACAATATATGAGTCTGACTTGTCATTGTGACACTAGAGGACAGTTATACACAGCCCAGGAAGGGGAACTACCAAAGGGATGTACTACAAAGCAAGTTTGACAAATACAAGCTTTCTTTGTGTTAGCTGGCTTTACAAAACCTAAACCCCCATCAAGAGATAATAGATATTCATACAATGGTTGTCAATGTCTTTGTTAACACAGGTTTGTCCTCATCTGACTCTGTGGGCATGTTTGACGCGTCATAGGACTCTTCATCCCAATATCAAATTGTTCCAACTGACCTAATTATACTAATTAGGCAAATTACAGTGACAGAAAGTACATTTTGGGTGGAATAGACCTTTTAAATCATAACATGTCAGAAAATGCTATTTAGGTGGAATAAACTTCAAATATTACAGGAACTTTAACAGAATCTAGGATTTTGGGCAGAACAGACCTTTCAAAACCATAACTTGCAACTTAGAAAGTACTTTTTGGGTAGAATAAACATTTCAAACTATAAGTAATTGGACAGAAAGTAGTGTTTTGGGTGGAATAACCCTATAAAACCACAACCTGTTGGTTAGAGAGTACTATTTAGGTGGAAAACACCTCTAAAACTATAAGAACTTTGACAGAGCCCAAGTATGTGGGTGGAACAGACCTTTAAACCATAACTTCTTAGTTAAAAAGTACTTTTTAGGTAGAACAAACATTAAAAACGATACATAAATAGAAATTACTAGGGTTTGCACAGAAAAAAATGGTTTTGGGTAAATCTTTAAAACCACAACTTGTTTGTTGGACAGTACTATACAATTGTGGAATAAACCTGTAACCTGTCTCGGTAATTGGACAGAAAGCACTATTTGGATGTGATTTGGCGTTACCCAATTCAGTAGGTGGGTCGTCATGGTTTCATTTCATTTACAAGTCAATTCTGGCCAAGACACCTCCCTACCTGTCCTCTCTTCTTCAAGTCACCCATAATTCTTATCATACTAGTGAACACATCAAGCTCATCATCCCCAATACCTCTATTCTTTTTGGCCGTAACTCTTTTCGCTTTGCTGACAACTGGAACACCTTACAAAACACTCTCAAACTTCCAACTCTGACTCCACTCACCACCTTCAAGCTTAAAATCCAACAGACTGTAGTTGACTGTTGCTCCTGCTGACCACACCGGATTTTACTTACATACTTATACACACACACACACACACACACACACACTTTTTCTTACACCTCATGCACATCATTTTTCACTCACATGTATATGCCCCCGTGCTTCTTGTTTAATTTTTTTTCAATGTTGTGTTGATGTGTCTACTTGTGTGTGTAATTTACATGAGTATTTGTTCCTTGTGGCGCATCTTGGCCAGGTCATGTTTGCAAATGAGAACTGGTTCTCAAACATTTTTTCCTGGCAAAATAAAGGTTAAACAAAAAAAAAAAAAAAACAAGGGTCATAGAAGTGCAGTCCTACAACTGTGGTCCTGAAACTGCAGCCTCCTGTCCTGCAACACATAATAATGAAGGCTATGGCTTCTTACAGGCAATTTAAATCCCAAACTCTGAACAGAACCTCTTCTGGAGCAGGTTAGTTGTGCAGCATCAGTTACCAAGGTGAAAATTAGTACTCTTTGTCCAGCACAGAGCTCTACTTTTAAGGTGGTTTATTTAGGAAGATGCTAACTCTCGCTTGTGCTGCTTTGTTTTTTTTGTTTGTTTGTTTTGTTTATTTTGTCTCGTGCTTTTTAGCATTTTGTTGTTTGAGGTTCTGCAGAGTAAAATTTTGACTTTGTAAACCAGTGGGCAAAATGAATCAAAGAGAGACTGAAAATGAGCGTGTGTGTGTGTGTGTGTGTGTGTGTGTGTGTGTGTGTGTGTGACAAATACAAACGTTACAGAGCATCTTTGATCTTAAGGTGTGTATTGTCTTTTCTCACACTGCCACATGAGGGCGCCAAAGTCACAACTTCTCAGACACTATACACGTTTGCTTTACATGCCTTGAGCTCCTGAGTTGCCATTATACTTTATTAGAGCATTTCTTTTGCCTCATTTCAATTTCATAAGGTTAAGTTTAATGTTGTTTATTTCTCTTTACCTTTTTCCATTTGCGTTTATTATTGTTTTGGTTTTTAATTTGTTTTCTTGAGTGCTACGCAAAGAAAAGTTACACTGTCACTATCAATATAACTATTGCACTTTTCAGCTGATTTTTCCTGTCTTCAAATCAATTGTTAGAATCTTTATAGCCTCCATAGTTACTGGTGGTTACTGAGAAAATAATATGGATCAGAATTTTACTTTGAAATTCTGATAGTGTTCAAGGTGAATTTTGCATCCTAATAATTGCTTTCCTTGTGTCATTGTTTCCATGCAGTGCTGACTTCATTCTCTACTGCAGTGAGTCCTGGACAGGAACACAATACTCTACGTCTAATGTATAAATAAAGACTGTGTGGAGTTCATTCACTATTCCTGTTGTTCAACATTTTCAATGAATATTGGTGTTTCAGGCTACAGAAGTTTGCATTTTTGTCTTAACTTATGTTCCTCTTTGTTTTCCTTCCTTGTATCACCAATAAGTATGCAGTGAAAGTAATGTTGTATAAGACTTTATTCATTATTATTTCACCTGTTCCTCTAATTGTTCTGGTCTATGCATAAAAATCCAGAGTTTGCAATGAAACATGACAGTAAAAAAAAAAAAAAAAGCCCAAGTAGAAACAAACACTGAAAGACTGAAATGTGAAATTTAAAAAATCTAAATCAAAAACAAATCAATTAGACGACAAAACAAAACTTCTCATAAATTCCCTATTTATTGATGGTTGGCTTACAATATAGTTCGATAACTTTCTCAGGCACACACAAACAATAAATATCTTTTTCCTCGTCCTTTTCTACCTCATGAAAACCTAAAACATGGCTGACAAAGACTTACAAAGAGATTCGCAAACTCTGATGCTTAACCATCCCATTATTCCATCCATTATCTATACACCGCTTAATCCTCACTAGGGTCGCGGGGGGCTGGAGCCTATCCCAGCTGACTTAGGGCGAAGGCAGGGGACACCCTGGACAGGTCACCAGTCTATCACAGGGCTACACTTAGAGACAGACAACCAAGCACACTCACATTCACACCTACAGACAATTTAGAATCACCAATTAACCTCAACATGTTTTTGGACTGTGTGGGAGGAAGCCGGAGAACCCGGAGAGAACCCACGCTGGGACCTTCTTGCTGCGAGGCAACAGTGCAAACCAACTGCGCCACCTTGCAGCCCTGCTTAACCATCCCGTATCGCAAAATCTACTTTGTACTGATTATTTGTCACACAAAAGGAAGACAGACGAACCAATTTAGAAATTCAGCCAGTACTCATGTAAATATACAAAATGATTTAAAGCCAACAGTAACTATTCACACACACTATTACTCTTCATTTAGATGCCATTTTAAACTGTAAATTTACACTTGCACACCCTTAAAAAAAAATAAGTATTAAAAAAATTACAAAGTGAGCTCTCTTATTGTGGCCTTCTCTTTCCTCCAAATATCATTACCCAAGTGCTGTATCGACACATTAGTAATATCACTGACTGTTAAATGATTGAAAATTGGATCATCTTATAGTTTGTACTATTTTTTGTTGACATGTAGGGTATTTATGTTTATGTATAATTAGGAACAAGCCTGGTATACAGTGGGAACAATGAATACCATAGTTATAACTTTTGATTCATGCTTAGTATATATTTCTCACACTTTTAAACTTCTTTAATGCAGTTACTTCTGTCCCCACTCCTATGTATTGAGCTGAGGGCAAGAAAAGGACACAGATTAACACAAAAAATGGCATCTAAATGAAGAAAATTCAAATGTGAGAAAGCATTTTCATTGGTAACACACTGTCATATTGCATAAAGTCTACTGTACCAGAATGCATCGGCGAGCAATATATTTTGTCTGATGCTGCAGTAACTTTACTACCTCTTTAATGTCATCATAAGATCAAGCAATGGTCTAATGTTTGAAATTTAGCTAGTGATTTGGACATTACTTTGGACATTACATCTGGATTCCTGGTGAATTCTGTGATGACACAGAAACTCGAAGGCACTATTCATTTTATATCCATCGTATCCATACGTAGTGACAGTTGTTTTCATGTAGTGATCCGACCCCACCTCATTGATCTTCCTGGATCATCTCTCTAAGGCACTCCTTCAGGTTTTCCACCCGGTCTGCAGGAGCTTTCTGGATGGTCTGCTCCAGCAGCCGCTGCACCTCATCCAGCCCAGCCACCTTTGGGGTCCTGACGGGCCAAAGGACCCCACCGAGGAGCTCTTCGTGGCAGTCTGGGTTAAGCAGGCCGCACAGAAAGCGCAGGAACATGTCATAGTGGCCCAGTGGGGCGTTAAAGGTTCGCACTATAGCATTGTGGACCAGGCCTGCTGCTGATTTGCTCGACCATTTGGATGAGAAGATCTTGGACATTCTCGACCCAGTGTCCAAAATGTTCTTAGACTCCATGTGAAACATTTTGAAGACATACAGAGCAGCCATGAACTCCTGCGGGAGAGAAAATGTAGAATGAAGTAAGGGTATATCGTTTCTATATGGGTTTTTTGCTTTTTGTTTGTTTTTTGAGACACAGCATAGTTTTTTAAAAGAACATTTGAACTATATTTTTTGAAAAAGTTGTAATACTGGTAATTATCTTGTTTTCTCTAAGTGCATACCAAATGTGTAAACAAAAAAAATCTATCAAAAGTGTCTTCTTTCACTTATTTCTAAAACAGGTTAGATATTTTTATTGTATTTTTACATTATTCAGTCTGGTGAATTTCTACATTTATCCAATTGAAATGATATTTCAAGCAACACCTTCCCAGTCTTTGGTTTTGTGTGAGTTCAGGTGGTTCATTTTGCCCCTTTTTCAGTGATACAATTAAATCTGGAGGATCTAAATAAAAAAGTAAAAAAGTTTCTTTCACGGGCGTTCTGTATCAACTTCCACTTCACTGTGTGGAACAACAGATGCTGGTCTGGTGCAGCTGCTTCTGAGCTCATCAGGTTCTAAATCAGCCTGTGGTAGGGTACTTCCAACTGAACATGAAAGTCAGAAATTAAGTTGTTAAAAAAATAAATAAAATCATGTCATGTCTCCTATTATATACGACCATTACAACATTTCTTCAATATCTGCTAGTGTAGAAAACCATGACTGACTTAAAACATTTGCCAACTGCAAAGTAAATGGTAGTAAGCATATTATAATTATGATATACAGCAGTGTAAAATAAGGTTTTATGGAATACTAAGATGTAGGTAGTGTTAAAGGGAGAGTTTTACCTGAAACGTGAAGTGAAAAAAGCAGAACGTCCTTTTCCCATCTGCGGCAGTAGTGCGGAGTTCTGTGCAAAAGCCAGTGCAGACCACCACATCGTACAACGACAGGCCATGCTCCTTCAAATCCTCCTCATAGAACACACTGGTGTTCTTCTCCAACATCACAAAGGCCATCTTTCCCATGTTCGTCAGCATGTCCTTGTCTTCGGCGGGCCATTTCTGAGATGGAAGATGACATTGACAAGAAAAAATGTTAAAATTCTGACAGTGATGGTAAGATATAATTCGCTTTTGTTGAAAAATACCTCTTTTAGATGCAATTATCTTGTCTTTTTCAATATTAAGTGACGCTTCCATGCGAGGGACAAAAACACAAACACTACGTGGGGAGACCTAAAAGATCTGGGACTGTTCGTGGTTGTTATTTGCAACTTCTCTATGCACTGCAAACTGGAGAAGAGCGCAAACATGACATTTTGTGTTGGTCAGATACTGGGATGAGCTAACATTCATGCTCATGATCACCACTGGTGACAAGAGGTGGGTTTGTAGCTGGCAACGAGAGAAGAAAAAGTTCTCACAGAGGAAGAACCTGCCATTTGTTCAACATCCACGTGGCTGCTCGCTGTCAATTCGATTCCCTGGTTGGACTGTCAACAAAGTTCTACTGTAATGCCCTGCAGTGTTTGAGGGAGAACTTCCAGGGCAAACAACTGGAATTGTTGGGCATTGTCAAGTGATTACACATGAGTTTTCTTGGCCATACAACACAATAATCACTCCTCACCCACCCTGCTCACTAGATTTGGCTATGTGTGACTTCTGCCTCTTCAGTACGAGAAATTCAGGTCGTCATTTTGACACAGATTATCGTAGATGAGGGAGCGCTACGAGCATTGCAGAAGAGCAGGAAGCGCTGTATCGCTACACAACGAGACAATTTTGACGGGGTTGGCAGCCTAATGTAAACCAGGTACAGCTTTTAAATTTCTTTTGGTCACAGTCACTGAAATTTTGGTCACTCCTTGAGTAATATATTACAGTCTCAGAAACTGCTAAAAATGAGATACACATTTGAGGTCATCTGACTGCACCAGATGCTACAAGTGTTCATGGTGTTGCATCAACCCACATAAAAATCAAGGATTAATAAAAAAACTAATAGATAAATCCCTAAATTTAAACAGCCAAATAAAAAAAACATTTGTCAAAGAAAATCTTTGGCCCTACCCAAGGCTGTATTTTATAACTTTTAAAAAAGATAAGTGAATCACACCGGGGTGTTAAGTCAGTAGGAAGCCAACATAGCTAAAATATGAGATCAGTAAAGAAATATGTTGTCTCTAGTCGCAGTCAAAATATCAAACATTTTATGTATAACATTTACTGAAACTACATCAGAAAGAACAGTGGCACGTGATAGAAATGAGTGATAATATTGCCTATTTTTCAAGCCTTTTCGATCACAAAAAGCAAGAGCCACAGACTGATGCACATTACCAGATGAATTTGAATTTTTTCATGATAGGACTCCAGCCTGCGATTCATCTGGATCACAAAAATGTTGACGTAGAACGGTGTCAGTCTGGGAGGTTCCGTTCCGTAGCCCTGATAACGGAAGCGTCGCTCGAACACTTTGGCTGCCATCCAGCAGAAAAAGGGTTGGCGAGTAAGGATCTTCAGTGTCGGTAGGCGTTTGTAATGTGCCATAATCTTTGCAGCCAGCTCTGCACTGACAAAGCGTTTGGTCATGAATTGGTCCTTCAACTCCTCACTGAAAAAATAGGAAAAAAAAACATTGAATTAGACTGTCTGTGTAGATTCTCAGTCATCCAGGTCATGGTAATCCCAAGAGTGTAATATAACAATATTTTCAGACTAAAAAGACGTGTTTAAATGGATTTGGCCAATTAAATTTTTCTGCTTAACATTATCAGCAGTATCACTGGACATAAATATATCTACAAGATGCCATTTACACTAAGTATACACACAAAGCTAAGAGTAGCGGGGGAGGTGATAATTTAATACAAATACTAAAAGACAGAGGTAATGAGACAAGAACACAATCAGACATACAATACATCAACACACACACCTATAGCCCTGTATTTCTGTGTAGAGGTCTATGAACTGAGACGGTATTTGTGAGACGGCTGCAGGCCTCCCCAGGATCCAGACACGGGCACCACGAAGCACAGTGCCTCGGAAGATGTTTACAATCAGGACATCAGGATGTGCTTGGGTGTGATTGTCATTTATGACTGGAGCATTCTGGAAAGAGAAACCAAATCATTAAAAAAAATTATCTGTTTCATGTCCTCATTTGAAGTTTTTTTTAAGTTTTTAAAATGTGCTTGGACTGCTCAAAATGTTGAATCTTCAAACATTGAAAACAATGGCAGCATTGTGGTCTTTAGTGTATATTAATATCTTTTCTAAAATTTCATTGGGACAGACATAAAAACAAATCTCAACATTACCTCCACACAAACTTGTGTGCTAAAAGGGATTTTGAAATTTCTGCTCTTGTTTATCTCTATAATTAAGATTCTAGATATTTTTTATCATTACAAATGTGAATGCATGTCAGGCGTATGTGTACAGATGTGATACCTCCCAGTCCAGAGGAGCTCGGTAGCGATCAAACGAGTCCATTATGACGAGATATTTACAGCTGTCTTCGTCCAGGAAAGGCATGCCTCTTAAGTCTGGATAGTAAAACCCTATGGCTTCCATAATGGACATCTTCTTACAAGGAGGATTGTCTCTGTTTCGCAGATTCCACATAGCTTGGAATGAAAGTTTGATGACAAACTGTATGTCCTGATCAAAAATAGACAAAAATGTCATCAGTCAACAAAAAAATCCACAAAAAGAAAACTACTTCTGAGAAAACACAGTTTGCATGATGCGTGTATGGTGTGCTGCACATTTTACAGGTTTTACTTGCAAAGTTGTAGTTGTACATTACCTACTTGAAATAAAAATTACTGCTGGATTGTGGGAATTTACAATAAATGAACATCTGTTACATTCAAGCTCTTAACAAACAAGTTTACACATTTCTGATGAAGTCTTTTCCTTTCCAGGCAAATCTCTCTGTATTAAATCTGGTGACATTCCCACATTAGCAAGACCCCAGCAATGCTTTTTAGGTTAACCAGCAATGATTGGTTGGCTGACGAGGTCAGCAACTGTAGAGATGGAATACACTACAGTAACTGGTAGTATGGTGGAAAAACTTAGGAAGCATCCAAGAAAAGTTTGTGACGCTCCAGATAAATGAGAAAAAGAGGAAGAATTACAATCAATAAAAGAAAATAATGAACAGCAAGGAAGATGTCGTGAACACACCATGATAGTCTCACTGTCAAGTGGGAGACTAAAGTTTTGCACTGAAGGTTGAATTGAGTTGAGTTGACTTGAGGTGTCCACTACAGCGAAGGCATGCACAGAAGAGTAAGTAAAGGATCGACACATCAGCAATGCTAGTAAGATATTCATATGTGCCCACTGTTAATTTATTAAGCTATAATGCCCATAGTTGATTCTGGGTTACTTAGTAACCTCATCTGGATCGGTGAGAGTTTTTGAAATGGCAACCTTTATCTGGTGTTTTACAATTTGCCTTTCATTTACCAATTCTGCTGCTCTGACCATCAGGAGCAAATTGTGCATCAGTGTTTTGCCTAAGAGCACTCTGTAAAATGCACAGAGGCAGGGATCAAAATGCCACACCTGTGATTAGTGAACTATTGATGAGACACATTCTGAATTCACACACACACACACACACACACACACACATTTAACATATTATGGTTTTATAAAGTTCATATGCTGAAGACGGTCCTAAGAGGCACATGTTTAAATATCCAGCTAACACTGAGCACCATTGTGGTGTTTTTGGTGGCCTAACAAAGTCCAATATTCACTCTTACATTTAGTTCCATCAGGTCTCCAACTCCTTAGAGATGTATTAATATAATATTTGACAGTTTGGATAACTTGATGCTGCACTACGATCACCAGTAAGTCTAATTCTGTCTGCTGTTTGGAGCTGAGTAGGTACAGCTGACAGAAAATGTATTTTTGTCAGATCTCACCATATTGGCCCGATGTTCTGCCCAGTCCAGTGAAAACTTCGCCACACAGACAGACATGCCAATTCCTGGAATACCAGTGGTCAGCACCCTTCTCACCGGCGTGCCGTCATCTTTCTGTTGTCGGAACAGATCGTTCACACCAACGTGGGTGACAGTGCTGGGAACCTGGAGAGGCATCGAAGGCGGGGGTCTGAACTCGTGGGACTGGTCAACTCCTCCGTTACTACACATGGCAATCAGCGGCTCCACGTAGACGGTCTCTAGCAAATGCTGCTTTCCGGCTTGAGCGATTCCTTCGTGGATTACGTGATGTTTTCTGCTTAATTGTTGCCTCAGAATATGACGGAGCAACACTGGTGGTGGAGAAAGATAGAGAGGAAAGTAAACAAAACAGCAAACAAAATCTCAACATTTCGCTCAAGCACACCTGCTTACATAGAGTTCTAAATTTGGACGACACATTACAAGAATTATTTATCTACAACACCTTTCCCCCTGTTTGTGGCAGTTACCAGTTACTGCATACATTCTTACTAGAAAAGAAGTGTCAACCCAAATCAACCTTAAATTCCTAATTTTCAGTATCATTCATTCATAAGGGATCACATTGCTGTCATCTGAATTGTTCCCTTAAACCTTTGAAGCTCAAGCAGTTTCTGGGAGTTATTCTATGTTGACACGTATTTACTCATGGTGGGCACATTTTTCACAGCAATGTAAAGTCACATATTTCTATGGAAACAGGACAACCATGACGAGAAGTAAGGTGAATTTAAAAAATGTCTCCCTCAAATGATGCAGCATAACAAATTTCTAATGCCATAAATCATAAAAACAAAAAACTGAAGTTAAAATTCTTTCAACTTGAAAGAAACATGGACAGCTCTTGTTTCCAGTACTAGAAACATAAACTCTTTATACTATAGATATTTTACTAATTGCATTTTTAATTTGTATCCTTGTATCCTACTTTTCTTCTTTCTGCTCTATGTACAAACCACTTGCAGTTCAGCCCAGTTCTGAAAAGTCCATTCATTTTCATCACAAGACTGTTGGCAGCAAGTGAGGCAGTTAGGTTCTCGGTTGCACCAACGAGCACAGATTGTTTTTGTTGGCTACAGAACGTACTTACTGCAAACTGCTTATTTCTGGAAACTGTGACATTCAGAATTAAGTGATATTGATGAATTATCAGGGTTTTAAGGTTAGATATGTTTAATGCTCCCAACAAAACCAAAAGTCACAGGATTAGCTAAAGGACTGTTGGAAAGTTAAAACTCTTTGGTACTTTCTATTTTTTACAGTTTCTTTCTTTAATAAATGGTGTAAATTCTGCGATTTTTAAAAAACAACATGAACTTTAGACCTGCTAGCAGGTTTTAAGATTCAGAGGGTTACAGCTGATATCCAGAAGACTGTACTGGTGATATATTTTCTTAAAAACACCAAAAAACAAAACAAAAAAGAAGCGGTGGGTAACTTTAGACCTGCTACACATCTACCATCGGCAGATTCACAGAGCAAAAAGTCCGTGCTGGTTCAATAACATTTTGTGCAAATGATATGTATCACAATCAGCAGCCATATTTTAACAGTCTCTCTTGAAACCTTAAACATTAACAGACACTGTTCAAGGTTTCAAAGCAAGACAACCACAAAGTCTTTTTCATAAAAATAAAACAACCACATATGTAAATAAATATCTCAGAACAAACAAACCAATCCCCCTCAGTATTTGTCAGTGTGTTGGGATAAAACCAGCGAAATGTTCACTTACCTCTCTGGCACTGTTTCTTTAGTTTCTCTGCCTCTTCTGTTTTGCCAGTAGTTTCCAGAGTATTTATTGTATGCGTCAGCGCACGTTCTTGGCCTACAGAACAGAATTTTTATACATTTTTTGTTTTTTTAAAACAGCAAGCAATCAATTAAGGAATTATATTTTTTTAATGACTATTGTAGCTGTGAAATTAATCCAATAAACTAACAAAATCCATTATCAAACAATCAAAATCACAAGTGTTAATTAGCCTCTCTAATTTCAGAGCTCTGTTTGTACCATTTACACCGTATGCTCCATTGCTGTGTGTTCTTACCAAGAATCTCCAGACTTTTGTCCACAAAGTCAAGTATGTCTCCCGTCATTGTATCCGATATTGTCATGCGTTTTTCCCATTGGTGAAACGTCATCTTAAAGGTCAATAGGTCCTCTTTGCTGAGGCCTGTCAGAATACTCTGCATACTCTTTAGAGAGGGAAGAAATGATGAAAACCCAAGTTAACGTGTTGCCTTACAGAAAGTACATCGACACACTGTGGGCCAATTGTTACCAAGATCGAAATTATATAATTTATTAATGATAATTTGTAACAAATTAACATAACTACTCGTTGGGTTTTATCGTTTTTTTTTTATAATATAAAAACTGAGGAATAGTGACGATTTTTTAAAACAAACACTATGAGTAAACATCAACTGGCAACCATACCATTGTTGGTATTTACCACAATCTAGCAGTTTATTATTCATTAAGTTCAAATACATCGTGGTCTGAGGATCAAACAATAATTTCTGTGAAGAACAAAGAAGGATTATACATTGCAGCCTAACTGTGATGCACCAACCCTGAATACATGAGGCATGTCCTGCTCTGGGTGCAGTCTGCCTGGCTGGCTGCTGTCATCAGTCTCTATAGTATCGTCTGGTTCAATGGGCTCAGGTGGTTCCGGGGAATTAGTTATCAAAACTTCATCATCGTCCTCCTCGTCATCATTATCTTCTGAGAAATCCCCCAGATCAGACGACCTGAGTGACAACAGGAAGCTCAGAAACCACTGCAGATAACAATGACATTTCGTGCATTTTACCTAATGCCAACAAAAATTATATTAACATTTTTTAAAAAACGCATGCCTCACCTTTTACAATAGTCCTTTTTGTTTCGAAAGTTAAAGACATAGTACACTTGTAGACATTAATAAAACATATTTAGAAAATGTAGAATGTTTGTCCCCAAAAAGTATTAACTGAAAATATAACAAATTACCGAAGCAAGATTTTTTAAAAGTTTTTTTACACATGAGAAAATCTGGGTTTTGTTTGGTCTATTCCCTCAACAAATTTAAACAAAAATAGCATTTTGAAGACAGAAGTAGGAGAATATGAAAACACACTGTAATCTGGAGGTAAGAACAGAAAGTAACGTCAGATTTTCAACTTTCTAATGGTCCCATAACTACTCATCTGCAACATGCTGCTCCACCAGACAACTTAACCACATCTAAGCCTAAATTTGTTGTATTTCATCAAAATCTATTTTTTTTCTACATGTCTCATTTAAAATTTCACAGAAAACAATGTAATTAGTTATTTGTCTATAGTATGACAAGTCCCTTTTTATCAGAATTGGTAACACTGGAGGGCACATAAATATGCAACTAAATAATCAGAGAACTTCACTTTTCATTTGTTCCCTTTTCTTGGCTCATGGCATTATAAATTTGATATACTGCACAGAAAACATGCTCAAGTTATCTGTATTTCTAGCTACGGTTGGGCTGTTTCCATGGCGTTGCAGGACTTTATACTGCAGTGAAAAATGTGTGTATGTGTGTGTGTGTGTGTGTGTCCTCTACCTGGTGTCAATAACAACAGCTCCTGGAGGTTTGGTTTGCTGCGTGGTCATGGTGTAGAGGGTCTCTGGAGAGTCGGGACGATTCATCTGCACCCTGGCCAACATTAAAAGAGTAGTACATATTGTAAGAGCATGTTAATTATGAGTCATTTCAAAACCACTGAAAGCACCATTGCTTTGTAACATAGTGCATTTAACTATTCAGTGCAATAAAACTTCTGTGATGATTGCAACCCTTAGATTTTATTAAACAAAAAAAGGCAGACTATCAGAATTTACATGTTGATCCTGTTTAAACTAAAGTTCCAAAAACATCAACACAAAGCAGGACTGTTCATAAATGTATTGTGTCTGATTTGGCACTACTGCGTAACCCAGCAGGAAAATCACCCCAAATACTTAAAATATAAACTGACTTCATGTTTCTTTTTAACAAGCTGTGGTGTCTTGAGCACAAATACACACCCCTAGCAGCAATGCAGTTCTACTGGATCATGTTTCAGCTTTTCAGGACGATTTATGAAAGGAAATATTGTTGAAAGTGAGTGCAGGCAAAAAGGAGGAAATCAAACTTGTGAGTTGGCCTTTGTCACTTAAAAAAAGCTCCCAAAGAGGAGCAACAGACACACAAAGCTGAGTGATTTGGGGAAATATCTAATTGTACTTTTTTTGGACAGATAATGTAATTTTGATTTGCGATGTCAAGCTTAATTTCAAAATTCACTGTGCCATAGATTTAAAACATGTGTTGGAGCGTTACACCATCAAATACGTGACTGTCACACAAGGAGGACGGCATAACTTTTGAAAACCACTGACACTACAGCTTAAATCCAGGGTCAGACACACAGAAAAATGCACGAGGTGGGACTATTAAACAATGACACTGGATTTGGTCAGTTGAACCACAGACATGCATGAATGAACCATGTAAATGCTAATCAATGGACAAACATAAGCAATCCCTGAAAGTTTTAATTTGCTCAAATTTAAAAAAAAAAAAAAAAAAAGAATAATAGTGATAGTCTCACAATTTCTATTTATACCTTAAATTGCAACCTTTGCATTTTGCTAATTATATTGTTAAAATCAATTATTTGTGCAGCCCTCATAACTATGAGTCACAGCAAGCTTTTTTTGTCCACTTTTTGACAAGAAAATTACCAGTTCGGACACTGTGTTAAAGTGGCCAAGATACAGAGAGGAGCAGTCGTTAAATCAGTGGCAATGGGAAGCTTTTAGCAGCATAACAGCCAAAACACACAAACAAAATGGGATAGTGCTTAAATATCAAACAAGATCAAGTACCCTGTCTCGTCATGAGCAGGCGGTTCAGGTAGTTCTACAACCACATCATCTGTTTCCTCTTCCTCCTCCCCCTTCTTCTCCTCGTCCTCCTCCTCCTCCTCTTCGTCCTCCATGCTTTCACTGTCGCTCTTCATTGAACCATAGCTGGAGGGAGGCCTCTTGAACTTTTTCCTCTCCTCATCCTCATCCTCCACCTCATCCTCATTTGTAAAGAGTCTGAGGAGACAAAAACAAAGTGTTAGTAAGCAAGTGTCGTATTATAGGGTTATTACCAGTGAACCTCACCAGCACCTGCATTTCCTGTCCTGTCCTATTAAAATGGAACATGGTTTAAACACTAAACACTAAGTAGTTCTTCGCTGTCTCCTTTCTGACTGGGAGAAGATTTCATAAAGAAATTTAAGTGACTCACAAGACTTTCTGCTGGGGGGGGGTCGGAGAAAATGCTAGGCCTCATGTCATCCTGAGTGATTTGTGGTAAGTGAGTTAATGTTAGATGTTTTAGAAGTAGTTTGTTTCAAGAAATTTTATGTGGCTTTACCTTTTAAACAGTTGTATGTCTTTGGAAGAGTTTGCTTTGCTGCTGTGCATTAGAGATGTCAATGTAGCAGCTACAGCTGAAACCAGAAGTTTACATACACTGTATAAAAAGACATAAAACCTTTTCTTTCTTTTTTTTACCGTGTGACATTTAATTAAACTATTTTTTTTTCCTGTTTTAGGTCAGTTAGGATGAACAAAATTATTTCTATTTGCGAAATGCCAAAATAATAAGTGGAGGTCCACAATTCTCTTCCTGATATCTGGGCTGATTTCTTTAGATTTTCCCTTGTTGTCATAAAAGGAAGCAGTGTGTTTGAGGTGTGCCTTACAAACAAGTGTACCTCCAATTAACTCAAATGTTGTCAATTAACCTATCAAAAGCTTCCAAAGCCATGACATCATCATCTGGGCTTTCCCAAATATTTTAAGGCATAGTAATCTTCCTATATGTAAACTTCTTACCTTAAAGAAAATAATAAAAAATTATCTAAAAAATTCTCTCTCGCATTATTCTGGCATTTAGCAAATAAAAGTAATTTCAGTAATCCTAACTGACCTAAAACAGGAAAGGTTTAGTCACATTAAATGTCAGACAGTGACAATAAAATAAAAAAAGATTGTCTTTTTAGACAGTGTATGTAAACTTCTGGCTTCAACTGTATGTAGGAATGACAGTTTAGGTTCACTGTTTTAAATTACACTTTTTAAAAATGTTTTTGTGTGTTCTGTTGGAAATGTTTAACTCTTGATCCAAGTGCTAATTTTGCATTTGCTGTCTGTGCCAGTTACAGTGATTGCTTTGCTCAGCATGTGAACACTGTCTCCTGCTGACATTTTTTGTTTTTGTGTGTTTTCGTTAGTCAGCCAGGTCCTGGGACTGCATCCTGTGAGGATGGACTAACACCTTTCATTTTTGTTAACTGTTCTGTTTTACATGTTCAGTTAGTCACTTAATTATTTCGATCTGCTGTGGAATTTATTGCGGTGTTACTTGTGTGCAACAACTGTGATTTGCTACGCTGGTTCTCACAGGTTTTCCATTACAATAAGTGTATTAGTGGAGTATATGGCTAACCCTAAATGACTAACATGACTAAACACTAGTACTTATTGAATGGTTGACCTGTAGTTATTATATTATTGTTAAACAGCTTATTTAAAAAGGGACCATGTACAATATTAAACATAAATGTTGCCATTTGATGTATTGCACCAGAGTTAGCTTTAAGCTAATTTCCATCTGCAGTCCGTTGGCAGGTCACAATGACAACATTGTGAGCCTGTAGTGTGAGCCTTCATTTGCTTAAAGCACATTGCTACACATTTTATACTAATTTTATTCTGAAATCACTTGAATATGGTGCAATTATCAGGTTAAAATCTTAAGGGTGCTGGGTTGAGGCCCCAGAGTGTTAAAATCCTCCCAAAGTCTCTGCAGAGAGCAGGTTGACAATGTGAGACACATTCGGTTCAAAAGTGACTATTTGCTTAAACGGCTGTCATAAACGAACATAACTTCTTAAATAAAACTACGTTAGTATTTAGCTACTGGCATAACTAGTTAGCTAATAACGTGATATGTCACAAACAACTTTGAAAAGATAAGTAATTCAACTCAAGCGATAACGCTAGCTGACATGTCTTACCAGCAGTGATCTAAAGTCAAAGGAAGTTCATTTATTTCCCAAAGACGAGCACCAACACCCACCTTTCCACCTCTGAGTCCGAGTCCATGTTTCAGCGTGACACCGACTCACTCACCGCAGGTGTAGAATCGATTTAACTCGACTAAATCTTACTAAAGGTAACGCGACAACCTGAATAAAATATCCAAAAACAGACAATCCACCTGGTAGACGTTCCCTGCCCAACTTCCTGCTGTTACTCATCGATACTAAACTACAACAACATGGCGGCCAAATGTCAACTAAAAGCGTTTGAAATGTACGTATTCTGATAAATATCTAATACAAATGAACCAAACTATTACGTTTAAGGCCCTATCGGCGACCATGCAGCTTCCTTTCGTTGTCAGTTACCGAGTTTCGATTTCGAGTCCTTTTTTTCCGCCAGTAAAGTTACAAGCACGACATCGAGACCAGTTTTCAGAATAAAAGCAGAATCTTCAAAAACGATATGAATACTCACCATGATTATGTACTGTATACTGATACAACATCTAGAACATACAGTATGTATGGTTAAAAAAAATATGTTGAGCTTTAACTTTCCAGTGCAAAATTCCCTGCTGAAATATTGAGTGTTGTATTTCCTGCACACATGTATAGACGAATACTGCCTACATACTCCTAATTTGATAGACTATATTGTCAGTCCATTATTTAGGCTTCACAGTGAAGCATGCACTAAATTCCTAATCTTAAGTATTTGCACAAAATAGTTGAGTGTAGCTGATTTACTGACACTTTTAAACTACAAAGTCGGGTTGTTTAGCTTTTATTCTGAAGGCTTCGTTCTACTCAGGAACTCGACTGTCTGCTGAGGAACACAGTTTAAGTGACGCTTCCCTAATGTGTGGTTTTAGGAAGTCCTGCCAGAATGAGTGTATGCTGAGTTATACGTTGTGAAAGGTCATTTCTTTGCAAGAAAGGCTGTCTAAATTCATCTAGATTACTAATAATGTTGGTGGCGATGATTCCTGTGCCCAGACAGATGTTTTAAAACCCAGTTTAAGTAGCAGGCTTTCACAGTGTTATTTCAATCATTTTATTGACAAACATGTAAATATAATACAAAAAATTAAAACAAAAGTAGATAAAGAGAAGATCATGAAGAGCCCGGAAAGACAACAATAAAAATCACTGTGTGTTTGTGAAATAAAACAAAAAAAAAATAAAAGTATGATCAGGAAAAATTGTAGATGATCACAACTCCAACTTGGGGATCAGTCCTCAAACTTTCATCCTGCTCATCATCTGTGGATTAAAATTGAAAAAAAAAAAGAATAGATTAAACCAAAGGTCGCAGAGAAACATACTTAAATAACAGCATGATCAAATTTAATAAAAACTGAAGTGTTGTGTTGTTAGTGTTTAACACAAGAGAATGTGAACACCCACCCACTGGTTAATATATACAAGAAATACACTGTGAGTTGTTAGGCCATAAAGTGACAACCACCAACCAGCCTTAAAAAAGTCATTCAAGTTATTTATTACTATTGATTAACAGTGACCTTTATGGTCTTCCAGCAAGGTTTTCTTCCTTTTCTTCCTTTACACACACATTTTTCTGAAAACAGTGTTCAAAGTCAGAAGTTACTGAAATGTAATCACTGAACACATTCAGACAAGTTCTTTCACTACATGCAGGTTTGTTTCAACAGTTAGATCACTAAGTAAGGACGCAAACATAATCCATGTCCAGTAGTTTGTGCCAACATCATAAACAGGCAACAGTTTGAAGTACACGTATACAGCTTATTGAACTGTAATAAAAAAAGGTGAATAAAATACATAATCATATTTGGTTTATTAAAGTGTCACAGGCATTGAATTAAGTTTATGAGTTGAGGTGTCTTGTTAATGGTGCTGTGTTTAACTGCACGTTGTGTAGTATATTGCTATGTTCCCGACCAAAAGTGTCAATGTGGAGATTAAATTAGAAACACGGAAAATGCTGAAACACAGCAGTAAAAGACAGAATTTATACAAGTGACACATATGTGTTACGCAATGCAAGAGGAAGTGGGACACTTAAGTTGAATTCAGCTGTTAAACATGTGAAGACAAAAGACCCAAGGGTTTGTGTTAATGCAATCTTTGTTTTAAAAAAAAAAACAACAAAAAACTATTATTATATCGTCTCCATCTTCAGCTTCTCAGCACTAGATGATAAAAGTAATCTTCAGAAAGCAACATGCATCAATAATGAACTGTTTTTAGTTTGTAGTTTAGTGTGTATCACAGTTAAAAGTATCCTTTGAGTTTTCAAAAACCATTAGCGGAGATGCACAGACCTTAAATTGTTTGCATTTTCTTCTGCCTGCAACACTAAAGGAGACATGATGTACATCTCTGTTCACAGCAGAGGGCGATAATGTTCAAAAAACAAAACTGTTCACATTGACAGCACTTTATGGTTTAGCTCCTTGCTTTATTGCTGCTCCCCCTGAAACCAGCTGCTTCTTATCTTCAGTCATGATCGTTTTGCAATACCAAAGACCCAGCTCAAGACTAAATGGTACCAGACAGTCACGGTCCCTCAGCTCTAGAGCCCTCAATGTGAAGGACTGATGCTTGCACAGTCAGTAACATCTTTTTAAAATTACTTCTTAAAAACATACCTTTTTTTCCCTTTTTTTTTTTTTTTAAAAAAAGGGCCGTTATTATCATCAGCTTTGTTCCAATACACAGTATTTTATTTGTTTATTCTCTCATTATTCCCATTCTTTAATCGTATTTTTGCATTGTACTTACTACATTTATTGCTGGACCTTTGTGCCTAGACTGGTCTACACTTGTTTTATAGCATCCTAAAAGCTTCAGTGGAACTTTGACCTGGAAGACTGAGAATCTACACAGACATGTTTTATATAATCATGATCCAAGCCAGTTTGTGGCTGAAACCAAATTAAAAAGTTTCTGTACAGTCTCTCTCAACATTGTAAAAACATGAAAGTAAAGTTTACCACAACAACTCCACTACCTGCTGCTTCAATAAAAATGATTAAAATGATAATTAAGTGTGCCCTAAATGGATTTGTCAGGGTGTGTTTACCTTGCGAGCGCTGGCCGTCAGCCCAGGAGATTTTGCCGACCTGCTGGAGGTTTGTGGAGATTTCCTCGGTCCTTTTGCTGGTACTTTGGGTGATTTAAAGTTGCCAGCTTTGCCAGCTCGCCCCATTCCAGCTCGAGAAGGCAGGTTTTCCTGGCCCTTGCGCGCACTTGACGGAGCAGGTGATTTCTTTGAGCTTGTGCCTGGAGATTTTCGGGTGGAGCTGCGTAGTTTGTTCAGCCCTTTCTTTAGGTAGCTGTTCTTTCTGGGGGTGTTGTCAATACTGAACATCATAGACTGTCTCCGTTCAGCCTGAGAATAATAAATGATAAAAATATTTCAAACACATTATATAGTTGTTTCCAACAACTTGAATGAAAGAATTTTGGCAGTTTTCAGTACATTTTAGGTGCATGTGTTATTATATTACACTTACCGGACTGAGGATGGGTTGAAAATGAGAGCTGGCATGTCCACTGCTCACGTTCTTATTTTTGGGAGTGAGTGGATGAGGGAAGCAGCTGGTCTTTGTCTTTTTCTTCAAAATGAGATAAAAACAAACATGTAAAAAGTGGTGTCAGGGATTTACAGTTTTCAGCACATGGACATTTTTTTCTACTTTTATTCTGGTATAATTTTATGACTGCTAAGTCATTTTACATGCTTTTGTAAACAAACATTCTTGACAAGAATCCCCCTTTCATTCAGTCTTGAACCCCCCAAAAAAGGGAAATTCACATCACACTATATCCTACAGAACATTTATCTACTGCATTTTAGGCAGACTAAAGCATTAATTAACAATGAATGAAATATATGCACACTACTACAAACCAACCTCAGGTGAAGCTTGATATGCAGATGATGTAGGCCGCATTGTGCCTTTTGGGCTTCTGATCTGAGAGGAGCTGACAGTTTTTGTTGGCAACTGGCCTGGCATCAAGGATAGTCGGTGAGAACGAGTCCCGGCTGCGGCACCGGCATGTCCTGACATGAGGGACTGTCGATGGGAGACAAGGGAGTCGTGGAACTGACCAGGGATCATGGTCGCTCTACGGATTGTGTCAGATGGGTCTCCTGTACGGAGTTCTTCATCTGTGAAAATGAATGCACCACCACGGCAAGTCTAAAGGAAAAGACAGAGAAGAAGTTCATAAAATTAATGTGAAAAGTCAACAGCAATCAACCTTTTAGCCTTAGATAAGATGGCTTGCGGAAAAACACTGAATCAGAGGATGCGTCCTTTCTGGTATGATGCCATATTATGTTTCTATACTGTATGCCTCTTTAGAGTCTCTCTGTCTTTTCACCTCCGACTCCACGGGGTAGCTGCTCTTTAGATGAGGAAGGCAGGCCTTGTTCCTGGCCTGGAGCTCAGCAATCCTCAGCCAGTCGTCAGGTGCACCATCAGGTTCGTTCTCTGCTCCCACACAGAATGTCCCGGTGGCTGAAGGCAAACAGAAGCAGGAAAAATAAAAGGTTACATACACACAATTGATTTTTTTTTACTTTTACACTTTACTACTATATCTGCCCATCTGTTATCAATGACCATTAATAAATAGCTAATTAGTACAACTGCCCCTGCTTGTTGATGATTTCAATCATCAGTCGAGAAGTTCTATACTTAAACCTCAATTTATAAGTCGAATCAATGCGAACGGGGCAGTGTAGAAGTAACAGAACACAACTGTCTATAACAGAAAACAGTGATTTAAAAGGATGGCACTTCTGTGGTTTTGAAAGGTTGCAAAGTCTGTGATACCATTTTTGTTACCAAACAATGGTGCAACCTCCTCTACTGTTGTACAGGGTGATTGCACAGTTAAACATGAGACTCGTGTGGGCTGATAGCTATTCTGCAAGCGTGCTGGACTGTAGTATAAGTGGACCGAGGCAATAAACAATGCATTCCTCATAATCATAGGTAAGATGTACAGAAGTAAAAAAAAAAAAAAAACAGGTTCCATATAAAGGTTTAACAATTATTCAATGATTTGACAAGAGAATTAACGTGCAACAATTCTAATGACAACCATTTAATCTATTTTTTAGCCAGATATTGGGGTGAATAATGGATCCTTTTATCTGGGTAAGTGGGTAATTTAGGTATTGACTCACCCTGTGAATGAATTGTGCTCCGTCTGTACCCTGGAAGACCAATGAGCTGGTCGCTGGCAGCAGTGCCCATCCTGGCAGGTGTGTCAAACAGCTCCATAGATACGGGTCGTGCAGACTGGGCACTGGAGAGGTTTGGGTGGGAGCGAGCAGAAGGTAAGCTGTAGAAAGTCTCATCACCTTCATTGGGGCCAGGGGTTTTCTATAGATCAGAATTCCACAGTCACAACAGTTAAAAACTACACAATGTAAAAATGTGCCCATAAAAGACAACCAGTATTATAAGAGAAAGTCAGGAAAATTAGTCAAAACAAAGAATTGTGAGAGAGAAACCCTTGTGATTTTAAAAATGTCTAATGATGATTAAAATATATTCCAACTTCAACAGTGTGTTACTGTGAACATGCAAAACATGCAATCATTGTGCAGACAAGTGTCCTCCACCTTGGTCATGGTGATGTTTATAACCTGCGTGGTCCTGCGTCGTTTGACAGATGAAGTTGGATTTTTGCAGGCTGAATCCAGTTCAATATTATGGTCTGCATTGGTCCTGGGTGATGGAAAAAAAAAATGTAATAAAGTAAACAAAGTAACGCTTCGGTTCAGAGTAATCAAAGAATTTCAACTGGTTTTGAAGAGCTGTGCTTTGCATTCATAGCAGCAGACACTATGTAATAATAGACTTTCATATACAGTATTTCGAAAAAAACAAAAGGAATTTTTAAATCGTGTCTTACAAAATAAAATCTCACAGGAATACACCCAGGAAACTAGCATTTTCCAAATATGTGAGGACAAAAAAAAGGATGTGTACAGGTCAGTGTTTCAATGTCACACTCATACAGACAGCATGCTCTACACTGACAATAAAGTTTGAGGAAAACCTGCCACCCTAAACACCATGACTGTCACAACTATACAGCATACCTGTTAATCTGTCTGGTGTTTATAGGTGTGAAGTACAAGGTTTCCAAAGACTCGGCCCGCAGACCCTGACGTTTGGCTGCCAAGCGTTCTGAACTGCGAACAAGAGGTGTGCTGGATTCGCCAGGTGCTGAAAGTTTCCTACAAAAAAAGTAAAAAACAGAGAACTGTATAAGATTACAATCAATAATACCACCCCACCTCGTAATTTTCCGGAAAAGACAATCTGATATTCATGCTCACTATGTGTAAATGAGAGAGGAGCAAGGTATTAAACTTCTAGCTCTCTTTTGAATTAGTTACCTAACTAGTTGTGGCACTTTCAATATGTACAGCTGAATGCAAAACCATAAATCCCTTCCTGAATAGATTGTCTGAAAATATGCACAAGCGTTCCAGTTTACAAAAGACATTGCATCAGCTCATCTCAATAATGGATGACTTTTCCATCCAGTGTGGTCATTTGGACAAACTATAAACCACATTTGATTTCTGAAGTGGTCGCACAGCACATTTAAAGAACTTGTTCTGCGATACCGTGACCCAGAACTTACCTTGTGGTGTTCAGGGAGTCTTCAAGAGAACTCTGGTCCAGGCTGTCACAGCTCATAGTCCTCTTCGCCTGTGCTCTAGTGCAAACACTTGAATGTGTGTTGGGAACCTCCAAGTAACATGACTCTGCTGCACTGCCTCCATTGCCGTGAATCTTATTCTGTGCTCGCAGGGTATGGTCAGCACAGGCCAGCTAAATACAAAGATATAGTAATAGACACGGGGGTGAGTTGCAGCAGAAATGTGTTTGCCTTTACATGTTATAGTGACTTAAGAGACAGTGTTTCAGTTTCATCTTGGCGAGTATGCCTGCTCTAATGCTTTCCAAATACAACACCAACCTGTGCCTCCAAACTGGCCATTCTGCTCAAAAGTTTCTTCTCATTGGTTTGAGCCTTGTCCAAATCGAGTTGAAGTAGCTTTTTCTCCATGGTAGTAGCTTTTACTTCACGCTCCTTAACCTCCAAGATATGTTTGAGTTCATCCACTTCTTCTTGGCTTTTCTGGAGAAGCTGCTTCTTGCTGTTGTAATGACTCACAGCATTCTCCATCTGTGGAATTGTAACAAAGCGGATGTTTTGGTATTAATCTTTACAATCTACAAAACTCATCTAACACCAAACCAACCAAGACTGCACATGAAACTGTACTGCAGCAACAAAACCAGTTGGTGTTAGGTAATTATCTAAATCAAAACAGAACTGATATGTACAAAGATACAATGTAGTGAAACTTTATCATGTTTGTGGGGAATGTTTGGGTCAAACCAACCTGAGCTTTGTAGTGGTCTGCAGCCTCTGATTTAGCTGCAAGTTGTTCCTGCAGGTCTCTTTTGATCAGCTCAATTTCTTCTGTTTTTTCTTTCTCTTTTAAAAGTTTCTCCTTCTCCATTTTCAATATTTCCACTTCCTGTTGCAGCACAGACTCCAATTTGCGGGAAGCTAGGTTCTCTCTCTCTATGGCCTGTTGGGCTTGAGCAAATCTCTCCTTCTCAAAGACTACGGCTTCGACTCGTTTCTCCAGAGCTTCATAATCCTTTGTTGCCTGGAGTATCCTGTCCACGAGGGCTTCTTTTTCCTGAACAAGAGCCTCCTTCTCCCTGAATGTGGTCACCTGCAGCTCCTGCAAAGCCTCCTTCAGGCTAATGTTTGCAGCTTGTGTCTCTTTATGTTGGTTCAACTCTGCATTTGCTGAAACAAGCTGCTGTTGGAGGAGGTTTATCTTCTGAGCTGACTCCTGCTGAGTTTCAAGTAATTTCTGCTCTTTAGCCAGAAGTTCTAAAGAAATGGTTTCCACCTCCCCTTTCAGATTCTGGATCTCATGTTGAAGTGCACCTGACTGTTTGGAGCTTTCTGCCTTTATCTCAGTCAGAGTTTTTTCATAGACTTCAGCTTTCTCTTTTGTTTTTTGTGCCAAGTCAGCTTGTTGTTGAGACAATAGATCTTCCTTAGATTGCAAATCATCCTCAGCCTTCCTTAGTGAGGAGTCAAGAGCCTCCACCTGTTTCTTTAAACTTTGGATCTCCTGATTTAGCAGATCTGATTGCTCTGACCTGTCAGCCTTCATCAAGTTCATCTGTTCCTCTTTAGACTGGATCTCCTCATTCATGCTCTTTACCTCCTCTTCA